AGAAAATGGTTTCTTACTTGTACGCATGCAGAGAAATAGACAGTTTTCTACAAGTCACTTTTCAAGGTTTTTGGTCTATAAAAGTGGCAATTATTATTCGATTTACATAAAATTTTCACAATGTGATGCCGTATGCAATTTCTGATTTCATAAAACTAATTGAACATTTTCATAATCACCGAAAGTACTGTACACTTACATGTAACAACTGTATAAAATGAATTGATATTGCTGGATTTGGTTGATTCGGCGTCCATTTTATTTGATGTGTGCAATGCTTTTGTGGAAACCTGTTTAATGGTTTCATCGGTACCGGAAGTGACATTTGTTTATCGTAACGTGGTTCCGGTGAAACCCATCATTACTGCATCGCAGTTCTAGTTATTATTATTATTATTCAAATTTAGTTTTGATTAGATCTAAGCAACTGCTTGTCGCATCGTTTCGATTTCTTCGGTTTTACTGAGAAAGTGAGTGTGACTTAGAGGATAAAGCTATTTTGAACGTTCTGCGACAATGCAAAATGTCCAAAATCACCAAAGCTATCGTTTTAAAAAGATATTTTGATTTTTGATTTTCGGCAAATCTTTTTTTATTTATGAATATTTTTTAGTCGTGTTTTACACAAAATTAATGAGTCATCTGACTTGGGCAAAAATGTGAATTTTTTTTGTCTCAGTAATTTTCCTTGGCCGCCATTGGCTAATTCAGTTTTTCAGTCCTAGATTAATTATTTATTGTTCGATTTGTATAAAACAAAGTTCATATGCTCCGTTGTCTCAATCGCCATTTTATTTGTTACCGATAGAAGTGGCAGTAATTTTACCAAAAACTACATTTTTGACAGTTAGGTACATATCGAAAGCAAATATTATTTTTTTCAAATCTGGTATAATAACTGAAAGGGTGCGCCCTTTAAAGGCGCACAAAATGTCGGGCCCATTTTTTTTAATTTCGATTCCGTTTTTGGGCTATTTCGATTAAAAGGTGCAAAAAGGTGTAAAATTAAGCTATTTACAACCCATCCAGCATTTTCATATTTTAAAATATTACTTCGTAACTTTCATAAACTCGTAGCAATAATCTATACGGAGAGAATGTGTGTGAAAATTAATTTGTAATATGCGCAGTTGCCGAGAAATGATCAATTTTGCATGAGTCACTCTTGTAAAAGAGTCAATTATTATTGGATTTTCATAAAAGTGAAACCATTTGATGCATAATGTCAATTGTGACTAGTTCAACTCAATTTAACATTTTCAATGTCACCGGAAATGACGAAATTTGGGCAGAAACTGTATTTATAGCCTTCGAAACAAATAATTTATTCAAATGAGTCGTATTTGTTGTTTGTTTAAGATTTTGATATTTGATTCTAATTAACTAAAAGAATGAACCCATACGATAATATAGATATCACAAAATGGTTTCTAACTTGTTCAGTTGCGGAGAAATAGACAATTTTCAACAGGTCACTTTTCAAGGTTTTTTTGTCCATAAAAGTGTCAATTATTATTCGATTTTCATGAAATTTTCACTGTGTGATACCTAATGCCATTTACGATTTCATACAAGTAATTTAAGATTTTCATTATCACCGGAAGTAACGTGATTTTGGCAAAAACTGTATTTTTATACGCCCACATTTTCATGTGGACGTACATTGTCGTCGCCCCCGTCCGTCCGTCCACAATTGTTTGTGAACAGTCTACAGGTCACAATTTTTATCCGATTTCAATGAAACTTGAAATATAGGTTTATCACCCTAAGATCTCGGTTCCTTTCGATATTGGCATGTATCGGACTGTAACTTCATGGATTATGGCCCGTGATTGTACGAAAAATCACGCTTTTAGCTTGTGAACACTGTAGAGGTCACAATTTTTATCCGATTTGGTTTAAACTTGAAATGTATGCTTATAACCCAAAGATCACTGATCCTTTCGATATTTGCGCATATCGAAACGTAACTTCCTGAATTATGGTCCCTGATTGTACGAAAAAACTTGTTTTTATCTTGTGGACCCTATAGAGGTCATTATTTTTATCCGATTTAAAAAAACGTATTATTATATCCCTGTTAAACCCTAAGGACGGCTGAGTTCGAATTTCGTAAAAATCGGCCCCAAACTGACAGACAAAATGGCCGCCGTTCGTTCTCAAATAGCGTAAAAATATGGTATATCAAGGTTGTGGACCCTATAGAGGTCACAATTTTTATCCGATTTTGTTGAAACTTGAAATGTAAGTTAATAACCCAAAGATCTGATCTGATTTTGATGAAACTTGATATACATGTTAATAACCCAAAGATCTTGGTTTGTTTTGATATTCGCGCATATCGGATCGTAACTTCCTGAATTATGGCCCCTGATTGTAAGAAAAATCGCGTTTTTAGCTTGTGGACCCTATAGGAGTCATAATTTTTATCCGATTTAAAAAATCGTATTATTATATCACCTATACACCCTAAGGATGACTGAGTTAGAATTTCATGAAAATCGGCCCAAAATTGACAGACAAAATGGCTGCCATTCGTTCTCTAATAGCGTAAAAATATGGTATATCAAGGTTGTGGACCCTATAGAGGTCACAATTTTTATCCGATTTTGTTGAAACTTGAAATGTAAGTTTATAACCCAAAGATCTTGGTTCCTTTCGATATTCGTGCATATCGGACCGTAACTTCCTGAATTATGGCCCCTGATTGTACAAAAAATCGCCTTTTTAGCTTGTGGACCCTATAGAGGTCATAATTTTTATCTGATTTAAAAAAACGTATTATTTTATCACCGTTACAGCCTAAGGACGGCTGAGTTCGAATTTCGTGAAAATCGGCCCAAAATTGACAGACAAAATGGCCATCGTTCGTTCTCAAATTGCGTAAAAATATGGTATATCAAGGTTGTGGACCCTATAGAGGTCACAATTTTGATCCGATTTTGATGAAACTTGAAATACTTATTTATAACCCAAAGATCTTGGTTCCTTTCAATATTCGCACATATTGGATCATAACTTCCTGAATTATGGCCCTTGATTGTACGAAAAGTCGCGTTTTTAGGATGTGATCCCTCTAGATGTCACAATTTTTATCCGATTTAAAAAAACGTTTGAATATATCACTGTAACACCCTTATGATGGTTGAGTCTGAATTTCGTACAAATCGGACCAAAACTACCGGACAAAATGGCTGCCCATCGTACGCAAATATTGTACATGTGGTATATCAAGGTTTTGGACCCTCTAAAGAGAGGACACAATTTTGATCCAATTTTGATGGAACTTGAAATGCATTTTTATAACCTAAAGATCTTGGTTCCTTTCAATATTCATGCATATCGGATTGTAACTTCCTGAATTATGGCCCTTGATTGTACGAAAAATCACTTCTTATTTGAGCTTGTTTTCTGTCCATCTCTTGCAAAACGCGGGCGTATCTTGCATGGCAACCACTTGTTAACTGATTTTGTTGAAACTTGAAATATAAGTTTAAAACCCAAAGATCTCGGTTCCTTTCGATATTCGCGCATATCGGACCGTAACTTCCCGAATTATGGCCCCTAATTGTACGAAAAATCGCGTTTTTAGCTTGTCGACCCTATAGAGGTCATAATTTTTATCCGATTTAATAAACCGTATTATTATATCACCGTTACACCCTAAGGATGGCTAAGTTCGAATTTCATGAAAATCGTCCCAAAACTAACAGACAAAATGGCCGCCGTTCGTTGTCAAAGAGCGTAAAATATGGTATATCCAGGTTGTGGACCCTATAGAGGTCACAATTTTTATCCGATTTTGTTTAAACTTGAAATGTAAGTTTATAACCCAAAGATCTCGGTTCCTTTTGATATTCGCTCATATCGGACCGTAACTTCCTGAATTATGGCCCCTGATTGTACGAAAAATTGTGTTTTTAGCTTGTTCTCTATCCATCTCTCGAAAATGTGGGCGTATCCTGTCTGGCAGCCGCTGGTCCCTTCTTTTAAAAATTGTCCAATGGATCTTTCTGCAGCTTCTGGTACAGGAAGTGAAGTTCCCATACAACGTATTAAATTTATCCTGACAATGATCCGTAAACCGGAAGTAGTTGAAAAAATATTCGATATTTAAAAAAAAAACACCCAGTCAAAATCGGTATTCTTGCAAAAATCGTGATTTCACCGTCGGGTGTGACCGGATCAAAACACCTAAAGTATCGTTTGGTAGCTCGATGAATGGGCTATTGTATGACAGACTTCCTGTCTGATTCCTGAAAGCCGGTTCAGTGCTGCTTGCAGGTCTAGTTATTATTATTGTTACTAGTGCTATAGTTTATATTATTATCATTATTATTAGTGCTATTTATATTATTATCATTAGTACTCTTATTATCAGTGCAATAGTCTTTGCATCCAAGGCTCTAACAGGCATTGTAACATGTACGAAGACTAGGAGATTGGTACGAAACTTACACACTAAGAGCTTGTGATCAGAAAGGTAACTTAATGGGGCAACTCCAAAAGAGGCAATGTGGGGAAACAAAGAGAAACTAGTCAAGATATAGTTCACAGTACTACACCTATTCAACAGATCACTGTGATTGAGCTTAGTGGGTTTTTTAATGTCATTATCTAAATCATTCCTCTTGATAAAAAAAAAGCCAAAACTGACATAAAACTGAATAGGCCTATATGTCAATAGACCACTGTGATTGAGCTTATTGGGTTTTGTAAATCATGCCTCTTAATAAAAAAAAAGCCAAATTGACCTCTGCCAAATATGTGATGATTGTATTTAAATTTGTGTACGTTTCTGTGTATGTAGGCTTTGTTAGTTATTTGTAGAAATCAACGAGATTCATTATTGAACCAAATGATTTTGAAATGAACCTAATTAAATCTATCTGCTAACTTATGTATTTTCTATTGAAATTGATTAAAAATAATTTTGCAATCCAGCATTTTCTTGTAGAATATCTTCTTATAAATTGAACACTGTGTTCTGTTGATTTCAGCTTAATTCATTGACAAAAAGAGTTGAATCATCAAGATTATTAAATCTAAAACAGTATATAACTATGTATAAAGAAATAACAGAGCAAGTGTCCAGTTTATCTCAAACTCAACCAACACTCGAATCTATGCCCCATGACATCACAGCCTCCTGTATATTTCAAGGGTGAGTATCTCTTTTTTGTAGCACGAAAGTAATTAATATAGTCTAACAAGTGCTAGTTCCATTCTTACAGTATTTATTTTGTGGTGTAAGGGGAGACAATAGAGGTTTTGGAAGAGTTACCTGCTGTACTTTTAAACATAAAACTGTAAGGTAAAACATTTGGTCTATTGCCTGAATAATGCTTCTGATAGATAAAAGAGGTACGAGTACCTTAAAGGAGCTAAATCGCTAATATTTGAGACCTACAAATTGACCCAAATGGGTCGCAACGCATATAATAATGTAATCTGATTGTATATAAACTGATTTATATTCAATTGTTTCTGTTTTGACTCTAATTTCAAATCAGTTATGTCCAGCGAAATACGGCATTAGTCTGAATTGAATAGCAATTTCTAGCGTCTGGTTATTCCAGTCTATTGCGCATGCTCTCCAAATAAGATATGGCAGCACCGTTTGACAGGAGTTTTGGAATATGTCTAGCCCTTGTTCTTTCTGGTCACTTGTTACAAATGACACCGAATTGCACTATGGTACACGATTCGTGTACCAATGGTAAAATGTTTATTTTGTCTTAAATATTGGATATCAGAAGCCTAGTTTTTCCTGGTAAAATCACAACATCAATGTTGATTTGAATTAACAAATAATTCGTATTTTCAACGTGTAAGACTTTGGATGATATTGAGTTAGAGACTTAGCTACTTTAATTAATGAAATTGAAAATGTTTAACATAGATAAATATAACTTCTCAGTCCAGAGAGCCGATTTTATGCAAAACAGCAACTGTTAATTAGATAATCAGCGGCTGCCAGGCAGGATACGCCCACATTTTCGAGAGATGGATAGAGAACAAGCTAAAAAGAAAGTGATTTTTCCTACAATCAAGGGCCATAATTCAGGAAATTACAATTCGATATGCGCAAATATCGAAAGGAACCGGCCGCCCCGGCCATTTTGTCTATCAGTTTTGGGCCGATTTTCACGAAATTCGAACTCACCCGTCCTTACGGTGTAACGGTGATATAATAATACGTATTTTTTAAATCGGATAAAAATTATGACCTCTATAGGGTCCACAAGCTAAAATCGCGATTTTTCGTACAATCAGGGGCCATAATTCAGGAAGTTATGTTCCGAAATGAATGAATATCAAAAGGAACCGAGATCTTCGGGTTATAAACTTACATTTTAAGTTTCATGAAAATAGGATTAAAATTGTGACCTCTATACGGTCCACAACCTTGATATACCATATTTTTACGCTATTTGAAAACGAAGGGCTGCCATTTTGTCTGTCAGTTTTGGGCGGATTTTCACGAAATTCGAACTCAGCCGTCCTTAGGGTGTAACGGTGATATAATAATACGTTTTTTTACATCGGATAAAAATTATGACCTCTATAGGGTCCACAGGTAGTTATGGTTCGATATTTGAGAACGAACAGCAACCGTTTTGTTTGTCCGTTTTGGGCCAATTTTTACGAAATTCGAACTCAGCTGTCCTTAGGGTTTAACGGTGATATAATAATACGGTTTTTTAACAATATCGAAAGGAACCGAGATCTTAAGGTGATAAACCTATATTTCAAGTTTCATTGAAATCGTATAAAAATTGTGTCCTGTAGACTGTTCACAAACAATTGTTGACGGACGGACAGGGGCGACGACAATATAAAAATTTAAAGTTTAGACAATTTGTTCATAGCAACCTTATGTGATGATATTGCATGTGTAAAGATATTAAAAGATTGTGTTTTCAGAGTAAAAGATGGTGATTTAACCAATGCTGATGTGGAATGTTGCATTTGTATGGAACGTAAATCAGAAATCATTCTTCCTTGTAGTCATGAATTCTGTGAAACTTGTATTGATTCATGGTAGGTAATTCATTTAAAATTTAAATTAATATGTGTTTCTGATCTTCGGTCAAAACATGTATTGTTTCTGTAAGTGTTTCATGTGGAGGTATATTATCGTCGCCCCTGTCCCGACTAATCGTATAACTGGATTAGTTTTTTGTTGAAAACACTGTTCTGATGCTTTAATATATTTAATGGCAGTTGTTATACAGCATTGCATGGTTACATGGTTATTTGGTTTTATTGGTTGGTTATTTGATCTAAAATAGAACAAAATATATCTAGCTCACAAACTGACACATAAATAGAAGCTACACTAAAAACCAGATATACATATGCAACTGTTAACTTCAATTAAGTTTAAATCCGATATATTAAATATGTCAAATAAATAAGAATTCAGTAAATTATATAGTTACTTCTATGGCGGGACTGCTCGCTCCTGCTAAGAGAACTGTTTTACACAAAATAAGTGACAGGCAGGCCGCTTTCATAACAGCAGAGAAAGCATGTGCAACAACAACAAAAAGAGAAACAGTTTGGACTCAGACCACTGATGATTTGTAACAGTAAACAGAACAGATGTGGTTGGCCTCCGTGGATCTATTTATTAAATAATATTTTTTTCCGATTTTAAAAAACGTTTAGATACATGTATATCACCATTCCACCATAATGAAGGTTGAATTCAAATTTCGGGAAATCGAAATGAAACTGCCCGACAAAATGACCGCTCTTTGTAAACAAATTGTGTATAAGTATGTAATGCAAAGGTTATGGACCCTCTAGAGGTCACAATTTTTGATGAAACTTAAAACATATCTTTATATTTCAGACCATAACTTTCCGGATTATAGGTTCGTGACAAGGAGTAGGGTCGCCTGTCCAACCTCGTGGGTTTTCTCCAGGTCCTCCGGTTTCCTCCCACTGCTAAAGACCCCTACGCGCAAGCGAATTATTGAAATAAAATTAAAACCATATGTTAGTCCCGAATTGACCTAGTTTGTGTCGAGTGGACATTAAACCCCATGTGACGGTTTCCATAAACTTCTGGAAATTATCAAGGCCTTCCAATTTTTCCCGAACATGAATAGTTCTCTCCATTTTTAAAATAGACAAAAAATGACATATGGTGCTGTTAGCCCCAGATATTATCATTCATTTTCAAAGACCTTGTTCGTTAACATTTTCAAACAGACCCAACTTTTCTAATGTATTTTTTGGCGTAGAATATGATGCCGAGTGGTAAATCAGTACACCGTTGGGGAGTTTTCGAGATATAAAAACTAAAGAGAAACCTGTTCTAATTAATAATAGGAACATTTAAAATTCATCTTTAGCGGATCTTGGCACCATACATTTACTTTCAAATGTCGAAAAAGATCTTGCATAAAAGGACCAAAATATTTCAAAACCCGTTTCAAAAATACATAAAAACTGTCAAATCGAAATATCTTTCTGATTTAATTTGTATGATGATTGCTATATTCATAATGAAACTACAGTAAACTTCACATAAGTTGGATTTAAGTGGACTGACCAGTTTTATCCGAGTTAAGCAAAAATCTGAGTTAGCCAAAGACCAAAATTCAATCTCAGCTCAATTAGAAATAAACTGCAAGAGCTGGATAATAATTAATTCAAAGGCACATTTCAAGCTTTTGTTCATATGTGCGAGTAGATAACTGTTATATCCAAGAATGGATGGTGTACATTGTAGGTCAGGTTAGATCACATTGATGTTTAATTAGAATGAATGTGGCGAACTTTTGAGAAGAAAAGACCGAAATTAAAGAAATATTGAGCAGCACATCGTGAGAAAAAACATGGCGGGAAATGACAATGCACAAGTTCCCCAAGAATACGAAGGCCTTAATATCAACCCCCAAGCATTTCACATTGTTACGACGACCAAATAAAAACAGGACAGTGCTGGGAAAAGTGGCTCGAAAGCATAGAGAGAGAATTTCGATATTTTAGAATCACAACTCCCATTGACAAGAAAGATACCATTATTATTCATGGAGGAAAGGTAGATCCAATAGCTGAAGAAGGACAAATATTAGATGAATACCAGATATTGAGAAAGAAACTCAATGAATATTTTCTGCCAAAGAAGAATGAACACATCGTCAAATTGAAATTTGGAAAACTTCGACCTATTCCAGGTGAGACAATCATTGTTTATGCTGCTAGATTACGAGAGAAATCACAAGAATGTCAATTTACAAATAGAGATGGGAGAATATTAGAGCACATCATACAGACAATAGACAATCAGAGTTTAATACAGAAAGCAGTCAATAAGAAATGGGTTTTGTCAACTTTTATGAGAGAAGCCAGTCAATTTGAAGATATCAACAGGCAACTTAAAGCTGTAAATATTAAACAAGATGAAGACGAGAAGATAAATAGAATTAAGTATCAGCAAAATAGAATTCAGAACCGAACTAGATGTAAATACTGTGGACAGACTGGAACACATAGATCAGGAGCAAATTGTCCAGCTTATGGAAACCGATGCTACAAATGTAAGAGATGGAATCATTTTGCCTCAGCCTGCATAGATGAAGATAGAAGAAATGCCACCAATTCTACTTATTATGGAGGAAGAGGTATAAGTCAAAATAGAAGAGAACCAGATGATTACTGAAGGAAATATAATGCAGACAATTATAGAAGATATTATGGTAGAAATTAATATAGAGGTGATAATTATGCATGTAGAAGAGATAACAGAGATAGACGAAAAATATTCAAATTACAGAAGAAATCAATCAACAAGAGAAAATTACTACAAATCAAGCAACACACTAAAAGGACAAATCAAGAAAACTGCAGAAGAGAAAGAAAATAAAACTTCTTCATCAGATGATGATTTTGTTGATGGAACCACAGTCAAACTAACGGCCAAAGCCAACAAAATTAGAACAGAGAACAACGATACAATTATGTAGTCAATTTTAGAATAGATGACCCTGATGTGGTTATGGAACCTGATAGTGGAGAAGATGTAAATATCATGGATGAATATCTATTTAGAGCTTTGGAACACTGAACCAATTCTAGCCTAGTATTAGAAGAGAGTAATATCACCTTAAAAACACTGCAACATAAACTATAAGGAAAAGGGGAATTTAACACAATCATTAGAAATAAAACAAGAGGAGTTCCTGCTAGAATAGTTGTTATATATGGTCACATGAAATATCCACCACTTCTTTAGACAAACTATGACAGAACTGGGAATGTTAGAAATAAGACCTGATGGTTCTTTACTAGAGCAGAATGAGATGAGAATTTCTGAAACTATCAATAGAGTCACAGAAGTAAAGACAACAGCAGAAATAGTAGAATCACATCAGAAAATATTTTAAGGGGTATGCATGATTAGAGATATAAAGAATGATAAAGATATTTATGCAAAACTCAACATGATGCCAGGAGTTGCACCTATTGCCCAAAAGCCAAAACCTGCATCCTATTATCTTCAAGAACTATTAAAGAAATGGCTAGATAAGTGTGTAGAACTAGAAGGTGAAAAATTTGAAAGAATACCACCATGAGAACTGGTCACATGGTGTTCACCACTAGTAGTTCAACCCAATCCAAGATTCAGTTATATTAGCAAAGATCAGCTTGAATCACATATGATTAGAGCCAGTGTTGATTTGAGAGTACCAAACAAATACATGGAAAGAAGCCGAGTCATACAAGGAGCCAATGTAGAAGATTTTACCCACAAATTGAATGATTGTACGGTATTCTCAAAGTTAGACATGACCCAGTTATTTCATCAGTTATTATTAGACCTTGATTAGGGGTTTCAGGTCAAAGTTTGTGAAAATATACATAAAATGCTACCCAATTTTTTTATTTCATCAAAATATTCTAATTAGATCCAAAGTTATGGAATTTTTAAATCCGAGATCGATGTCAATAATGTAATCAAAATGCTCTATACCAGTCAATGCGTGCCATGGCACCAAAATAAGTGCTTTTCAGTCATATCTGAGTGACGTCATAAGCGGTATTTTCCCTTCAAGATCGCTAATACCAATTTTAAAACTGAAATTCACACGTTATTGTCAGCTAAGATTTATTAAAATCGTAATAATTTGAATGATAATATGTCAAATATTTATAATCTGGAAGATACCACAAAAAAAGTACGCTATATTTAGTCGAAATTTAGCAAATCTCAGTCATCAAAACAGATAAATCCTGTTTTCTACGGCTGTAATTGTCGGATCTTGGGGTATCACGCACCATAATAATCACAAAAATGTTATCTATCATTTGATTGGTTCTATATCAAAATCCACCAGAAACTAAGGTGTGGATTCACCAATGAAGTGAGCTGTAGCAATGGAAAATCCCCGGCCGTGTGACATCAGAGCAGTATTTTCCCGCGAGCATCTCGTGTAAACAAACGGTAATTTCGCTTACATTTCGATAATTTTTTAGCCTGAATCTTTGCAGATATTGAGATTGATATTAAACTATTACAATACAATTGCTAGTAATAAATTTACATAAAATAGTAATTCAGAACCGTAGATTGAAGTGGGCTATATTTCAGCCGCTGGCTGTCCGATTTCACGCTAAAATCACATGACCTGAAACCCCTACCTTGATTCCAGAGCATTAGCAACATTTAGCACTCCTTGGGGAAATCTACGACCAAGACGATTAATATTTGGAGCTAAGTCTTCACAGGATTTATTTGATGAGACTATCTTCAGAATATTTGGAGATATACCTAAATGTCTAGATCAGAGAGATGATATCTTAATAGGTGGAAGAAATTTAGAAGAGCACAACAAAACATTAGAAACAGTATTAAACAGAGCTGAAAAATTTGGTATCACCTTTAATAGAGAAAAATGTCAATTTGGAGTAGAAGAATTGGAATTTTATAGTTATAAATTTTCTAAAGAGGGTTTAAAGCCAACACTGGATAAAGTACAAGCTGTTAAAGAGAGTCAAGCACCTAAAACTAAAGAAGCTGTAAGAAG